CTCATGAATAATTGAGACATATATTGATGCATATATGGTGTGACTGGGCACCCGCACTTGTGTAACATTCCAAAAGTGCAATTTATGGAAACCTAGCAATTTTAGATGCCTATGAACATCATTATGTCTCATCACGATCTCATCAAGGATATGGTGCTTTGTTTTGATTTATTTCACCAAAACCTTATTTTTCAATTTATATGTGTGCAAACGATCTTTAATCATCATATTTAACGATCTTTAATGTGTTTCATCATTTGTAGGCTGCAAAGTGACATAATCATGGATGGTGTTACCTAATGGGCTGGAGAGTTTCTAAATTATGAGATGTGCATGATTAAGCAGGCCCTGCTTCATTACCGAAAAAGGCTTTCGCCCCGTTTTATATATAAAGCATCAAACCACAAGCATCCAGTACAACCACACACCACGCCACCGCAACACATGCACACACCCAAGACATGATACATAGGCGCTGAGCGCAGCAACACCACTCCTAGCGCTACCGCCCCGAAGATATGAAGCTACATATGACGAACCATGCGCTCCAAGGCGACGCCTTCAGAAAGGATACGACGCCGGAGCGCCGCCATCGCCCGATCCAAGGATCAGAGTTTCCCCCAGAGCCGCATGACGGGCAATGAGAGCCGCGACGACGCCTTCAAGAAGGGAACGATCTTCCCCGCCGCAGGTCCGTCCGAAGATAGAGCAGGTTTTCACCTCGGCCAACAATCATCGCCACCGAACGCCACAACCCGGCAACCACGCCGCCCACACGACCATGATGACCGGGCAGCACCAAGGCACGGGCTTTGTCCAAGAGCACCGCGCAACCACCACCACCAGGGCCGCCGCCCCAGCATCCAAGACCTCGACATCACCTCACCCGTGACCCGCCGCACCCCACCTTTCGCACCCCTGGGCGACCACCAGCGTCGAGACCCAATAGGTCGGCCAGAACTGGTATCCACCGACCCATCCTGCTGCCCCAAGCGCGAGATGAGCTCGGTCCTGCAGCAATGAGAGGGGGACGAGGTCAGTCTTGCTGCATCGTGCGCGAGACGAGCTCGGTCCTGCTGCATCGTGCGCGAGACGAGCTCTGTCCTGCGGCATCGGGCGCGAGACGAGCGGTCGACCGCAGCTGGGAGAGGACCAGCCCTTTGATGGGAGTAGCGTCCGGGCGACGAGGAGATAGGGTGAAGGTCGAGACGGCCCGAACCCAGACAAAACGACGCCGGAGAAGCCGACTGTTGCCGCGGACAGATCCATCGAGCCACCGTGAAGCCGCCACGACATCGGAAGGCTACCGAGACCTGCCCTTGCCGCCGCCCACGGCCGGAGCAGGAGCCACGCCCAGCCGCTGCCTATCCGCGTCGCCCGGCGAGCTCCAAGCGCCGGAGCCGCCGGGCACGCACCACTAGAGCCACCGCCACTGCACCGCCACCCCGACCAGCCGAGGGGGCCTCGGTCAGGGCCGCCGCCCGCAGCCCTACCCGTCATGTTTCATGACATGACATGCAACGATTTAGATGACCGCCATGTTTGACTAATTTTATATTAATTCAGACGTGCGTTGCACGTGCACGTTTACTAGTGTAGGTAAAAAAAAGGATAGACTGAATCCAGTTTTTTATTACCTCATGTTTTGACTTTTTTTTACGGGGTTGTTTTGACATTTTTTACAATATATATACCTCACTTAGCAGTTTTTCTTTCGAATTTACCCCATTTAGTGAATGCTTTTGCCAATTTTACCTCATTTTAGTAAAATAAAATAGAATTTGGCAGTTTTGTTTTGAAAAGACTGAGCCGGTATATCATCTTGAGATTTACGAAGACACCATAGGCGCCTTGTCGTCGACGGGAACGACTCCTTCCACTGAATGCACATCACCGAAAATCCTAAAATAAATCCAGAAATAAATGCGAGACCCTGGTGGGCTGGGATGCCACAGTTCCTCTAACCATCTAACCACAGATTGGTTCGCATATGGCGACCAGTTTTAACCTTAATCCATGGTATATTTGCGTATCGTGCAATCCTGCACGATCCGTCACCACTTTACCGTTTGCTGGTGTGCTCACAGAGCACAAAAATTGGCAGCTTTTTCATGTTGCAGTTTGCCTACTTGTGTTTTTACCGGTGCCTAAAACCTGTTCGAGTCGGGCCCGTCTCACGCACTCGCCTGGAAGTATTAGCAGACCGACTGCACGACGCCACTCGACCTTGAGAAAAGAAAATCTTGTACAACTAAGCCACTTGGCGAAAAAAGTTCAAAACAAACCTTGAATTTGTAGGCGAAAGCTAAATCAAACCCCAAACTCTCAATCCCTGAAATCAACACACCAAACTCTCTAATCCAGGTCTATTTTAAACCTTGAGAGGACTTCGCCGGTATTTGGTGGATTGGGCCAGCCCAGTAGCGCAGTCACTCATGCGCGCGCACTAATTTGGTTTTTCTTAGTTTTTCTCTTTCACGTTTTCTTTTCATTTTTCTTTTTTGCACATGTCTAATTTTTCTCAGTACCAAATATATATTTTTAATGCACACATTAAATATTTGATAAACTTTTGATATTTTCAAATACATTATGGATATTTTTAAATTAAATGTTTCAAAACTTTTTTGAATACATGGTAATATTTTTCCAAATACATGTTTTACATTTTCTTAATGACAATAAACATTTTATAAAACTACACGAACAATCTTTTACATGGTTCAACATTTTTAAATTTGCATACACTTTTTCAAACACATGTCACGTATATTTTGTTAAGGTTATGACACATTTTTTACAACATGCAAACATTTTTTTACATTGTACCAAAAGTGTTCGCACTTAAAATTTTGTTCAGGTTTAAGAAAAAAATTATGTTTCAAAAAGTGTCTGCACTTTAAAATGTTGTTCAGATTTAAGAAAATGCTTATGTTTCAAAAGGTGTTCTCTTTATGAAAGTTGTTGGTTTTATAAAAGTATTCGAAATTTTCAAAAATGCACTTTATAAAATGTTCGAAGAATTCAGAAATAAATACATTTTCAATACTTGTTTGCCCCTAAAAAAAGTTTTCAAAATTCGACACTTCGCTTTTATTTTTGGCCTCTTATTATGTAAGTCATAGTCGTCTGTTGTAGTGCCAAGTGAAATCAGGCAACCCTGCCAGGTTCAAAGTTCGACTCCACGACATGTTTCTCTCTCTTGGATTTATTACGTCGAGTTTTAAGAAAAATAAATAAATATTTTTATGGCACGTGATAAGAAAAAAAACTCGCTTTATGTCTGGCGGGCCAGCCCAGTCGAGTCCGCAGCCAACAATAAAAAAATAAAAACATTATTTACAAAATAATTTATGAAATTCCAAAAACATTATTGAAAAAATGCGACACAATTCTGAAAATCTTAAAAATATTAATAGCATGTGAAAAACTGTTGTAATTCTGAACATTTTTTGACAAAAGTTATTTTTTTGAAATCGCAAACAGTTTTTTAAAATGCGAACAGAATTTCTGAATTCCAAATATTTTTTAAAAAACACAAAATGAATTGAATTCGTGCTAAAAACATATAACAGGAACATTTTTTTAACTTCTGAACAATTTTAGAAATGTGCGAACATTTTTTAACCTTCACAAATTCTTATAGTGGGCCGGCCCAAATTCTTGTCCGTGAGAGTAGCCGGTTATCCCGGTCCGGATTGTAGTGTTTCCGGTGTTCCAAACAGTTCTAGGGTCTAAAATAGACCGGGATTACAAGTTCAGAGTGCCAATTTTCGGGATTTAAAGTTGAGGGTTTGATTCAGCTTTTGTCTATGACTTCAAGGTTTATTTTGGACTTTTTCCCCACTTAGCTGGTTCGTGCACGGTGAAAAAGAGACGGGAGGAAAACTGGGACATGTCATGCCATGGGTACCCAACAGCCGGAACACACATATCGCTTTTGGCAAAACCTTCTCTAAATGGGGTAGTTCGGATGAAAAGCTACTAAATGGGGTAATTAATGTCACAAATGTCAAAATAGAGGTTAAAACCAGGAATTCACTTTTTTATATGTTATCATTGGTCTGGAGACGGTCATTCTGAAGTACAAAAGAAACCGAAATAGGGACTTAACCATGTAAAACAAAACAATTTTGCAGCTCCTCCGTTGCCTGATATTTCAAATCGTGTTAGTCGATTTTGGGCGAAGCACCGAGACCGAAGCGGTGGCGCTGATGAGCCCTCGAATAGGACCGACTAAGAACCAGGGACAATGCATCAGTTGCAGTGGAGGGAAGTATGAGATTTAAAGAATTCTGGCGCGGGAGGATACGGGGAGGTTGTCGACGATTGGATCGTTCGAGGCTTAGAGGAAGGTCGGCGCGGGGGATGGAAGCTCTCATAGGTTGCCAGGTCATTGGGAATGAGATGGAGACCACACACCACAACAGCTCGACGAAATGCTTAGGGTCAAGAAGAAGAGAGACAAATGAGGAGGAAGAACTAATAAGCAAAAAAAAAACCCACAAATTTTAAATCCAAATTAGAACCTCATGTGCCAGTTTTGATGAAAAACTATGTCATGCCATAGGTGAAACCGCTTCGGATGTGTCGAGGTCAAGAGTTGTCCGGTTTCGAAAGTCGGGGATGAATGTTGACCGGCTTTAAAGTGTAGAGATTAAACCTTGGCGGATTGATGAATTGAGGTACTAGAAGGAGCAAAGGTTTCATTAGATTTCACTACATGGTGTATGTGGCAAGCAAACTGAAAACAAACAACAAAAATGATTCATTAGATTCTAAAAATTGGGTCAAACTTACCAGTTTGACTTAAGACACTAAGACAGACACAAGTCAATGTTTGCAATTTTTTTATATTTTATGAGCTTTTGATTATTTTGGAATGCAGCAATTTTTTTATATTTTATATTTGGAAACGAAGGGAGGATCAAAAGTTTCCATTTTTGCACTCTAAAAAACATTTTTTTTCTTTTATTACTTGGCAAGCAGCACACTAGTCAATGTTTGCAATCTATAGAAAGTCAAACGACTCAAACCAGCCGCCACCGCGGACACCGGAGCGCACAGCGCAAAGCCGGAGTAAAACCCTAGCTATGGCCGCCGCCGCCGCCGCCGGGGCAGCCCCCCTCGTCACCGTGGCGTTCCTCCTCCCCATCCGCCTCCTCTCACTCGCCTTCAGCCTCCGCCTCCCCACCTTCCCACCCGTCGCCCCGGCCCGCCGCTCCGCCGCGGCGCTGCTGACCGTCGCGGCGCTCCTCACCGTCACATGCGCCATGCCCGACGCGGGATCCAGCGCCGCCCCCGACGCCGAAGCCCTCCGGTCGGAGATCAGCGAGCTCAGGCTCAAGCTCGCGCGGTTGGGTGAGTCGCCTCCTCGCTGTCTGTCAGTAATGCTATTTGGCCATTTGGGGGCATTTCAGAATAGCAGGACAGTTTAAAACGTGCTGTCTCTTGCACACATTGTCGCTGTACGCCAACGTGAGAGCCTGAGTTGAGAAAGTAGAAGACATTGACATGGTCACACCACTGAATTTCGTGAATCTCCCAGTTTTGTGATTTTCCAACTGAAGCATTCTAAGACTAGTTACGGTTTTGAGAGACACGACTCCATCTCATCTAGATTTCAAATCCGGAAGCAAGATCGGATGCACTTCTAAATTCTGAATTGTTCCATACTGGTGTCGTATATGTGCAATACGAATTCAAGATTCAGAAAAAGGAAATTTGGCATCTGACTGAGAAGTCAGGGTTCTGTGTGTGAGGGATTTTGAATTAGTTGTAGATTGCCATTGGTATTCAAACTGTATATTCACGCTTCAGGTTCAAGTTCCTGGGAAGTCTTGCAGCACGTAGGTTTTTTCATGAATCTTGAACGATTCCTGTGGTCAAAGCAGAGATGCTTCTTTTACTTTCAACTTATAGTTGTGATTGTTAAATATTTCACAATTAAATTGATTATGATTTATGTTGGGCAAACAAAAATCAACCTCGTTTTTAGTCATTGACCCTCTGAGTCAAACCCCCTGGCAGGTTGATATATCATATCATAACTCTACAGTGAGTGATTTACAAATTATGCATCTTTTGACTATTTAATTTCTAATTTATATTTGAGAGAGCCTCCAAGTTGTACTAAAGAAGATAATTTATTTGCACCTGAAGCTCTTTGCTACTAATTGATCCAATAGTCTTTGTACAGTTTCACTGATTAATGTATAGAACTCAGAATCTTTACAAAATATATTTGTATCTCCAGAATCTATTTTGGAGGAAAACACAAAAACTTCGAGGAGTAAAGCCTACACTTTGGAGGAGGGAAACAAACCCACCGAGGCAATGGAAACTGACAACCAGCTTTTAAGGAATGAAGAATCTTACTCTGAAAGCAACATATATATAATGGAGGATGAGGTACCTCTCTCGCTCTCTCTACAAAGGCCCGGGTTTAAAAATTGATGGGAACTAGGAGAGGTGTCTGTTCCCACAGGGAGAAGGTTGCTACAGTAAATCTTTGTGCATCTGTTCCGCCTTCCATTTTAAAAAGCTGACCAACATCATATACACATGTTCAGCATAATGTTTTATACTAATAAAATATATAAGAAGGCAGTTGCACTGAACTTATGTGGGAAAATTCTTCATTCAGCTCATGGCTTGTATGCTCTACAGGCGCAAATCCTGCAGCAGGAGGTCAGAAAGATAAACAACATTGCATACACCATAGAATCACTGGCAATTGATGCTGAGAAAAGGGTAGAGTTCCTGAGTTCAGAAGTCAAAAAGGTATGCCCTGACTGATGTTCTTTTGTTGACCACTTTTAGTTTATATTTTGCCACTTTCTGGAGCAATGCTTTCTAAGCAAACTGGAGTGTTAATTTGTAGCTGTAAGAAGATGCTATGTCTTATAATGAACAGAGAGCTACTTGGATAACTACAGAACTTGTTTTTGGATGACCATGTTGTGTGCCTTTTCATATTGTTAAATAGGAGATTGAAAACTATAATGGGCATTTACGTGGAAAATTTGCATGCAAACAATGGCCCCTTCCTACCCTGCATCGCTACAATCTGTTGCCTCTTCCTTGACCATTTCAATAATCAGCACTGTCGCTTTGTATTTGTTTCGGGAAAATGCATGCACTGTTTGTCCTTCTAATGTTACCAGCAGTCTATGACCGCCACTCCCACAGCTCATATTCTCCTGGAGCAGTTATGCTCAGAGGCAGTGAGAGAAATGTGAAAATGATCTTTGTCAGTTAGATGATCGTGATTATTACTAGAAGGGCAAAAACAAGTGTGGTTGGGTTGATCTACCTTCTACAGTATGAGTTCCAGACTTATTTGATGAACTGATATACTCCCTCCGTCCGAAAATACTTGTCGGAGGAATGGATGTATCTAGACGCAATTTAGTTCTAAATACATTCATTTTCATCCATTTCTCCGACAAGTATTTCCGGACGGAGGGAGTACATTGTAATGGAATACATTTATCCACATGATCGATCACCTCATTTTTTATGTATGGTACTAGAGTCTAGACTTGTATAAATCATGGAAGTGAATTTGACAATGTTTTGTTTTTGTTATGTTTTGAATCAGATCGAGAGTATAATTACAGAGCAATGGATCCAGATAAGGCAATTTGAACAAGCATTTGTGGTAACAAAGGTATTCATGATTTGTTTTTTCTCCTGCCATACATGTTTTGTAAAACTGTTCATTCTTGAGTGAAATGAATGCAGATGATGACTTCGAAAGTTCATAAAAGGAGGTTCTCTGAGGGTGCCTACAAGTGGTCTGGAAAGGACATACTTCTGAAGGTACTTCTGCAGTTTGTATAAAATAGTATTATTATCACACACTATTGCCTCCATTTGTGCTCAGCAGCTGCTGAGCTCAACTCCAATCTATATGTATTGTAGTAGTATACTATGTTTACTTTGCTGAATTTCATGCTTTTGTTGCAATATTTTCTTGAATCTTGTTACATGTTTTGATACTTTAAAGTGTGAACCAATCTTCTTTGAAGAGTAAATTGTGAAAAGAATGCATGTATTTTGTTGAATGTTGTCAAGTGTTTCAAAAAACGCGGTGAGCACAAACGATGGATTCACCACCAAACAGAACACTAGAGTACAGGGCCACAAGGGACACCAAGCCTTGCGACCACCAGAGTAAACAAACAGAAGACCGGGGATACTGGCAAGCACCATGATTAAGAACACCCTCGCGTTGCTGAGACGACTGCACACGCTCAGCACGACTAGACACACTCACCGAGTAGGCCAGATCTAGCATGACCCACACAGGCCACAGCGATGGTGACTGAGGCCTCAACAGGCTCGAGGAGGAGCACAATGCCCAATGATCCCCACAACCAAAACAGCACCGCCACCCCCAGAGAGAAGTCAGGTCCACCTTGGGAGGGACGGAGACCTGATCCATTCTAGCCAAGATGGCTGCTACAACACACCACCTCCATTGTGCTGTCCAAAACTCCCCAACACATTGTCAGGACCGCTGCTCCAGCTTCCAGTGGACCTGCCTACACCGCCTTCCGGAGCTGCTGCCCCAAAACCCACAAATTGCGTCCAATAGTTCATGATATGCTGTAAATAGCATTGAATAGGTCAAAGAAGAAAAGATGCACTGAGAATATGTATCATATGTACTGATATATAGAAAAGACATTGTTTCCATTCTAATTTCTCTCTGCTGTTTTTTGACGTTTCATTGTGCAGTATGTCAGGAATGTTGATCTACATGGCATGTTTCTTGCGGGGGTATCGCACACAAGGACCTGTGTTTCTCATACTTACAAACACTGCAAGAGTTTCATACAAGTAATGAAGAGATGCTACCATAAGGTGCCTAGTTGACTAATTTGTCATCTTTGTGAAACTATATATGTGCTCGCTGAATATTTATCCATGTGCTTTGTTAATATTAATAAGCATGACGTACAAAATTCATGTGCTCACCTGTGTGCATCGAAGATAGACAACATACCTCTAAGATAAAACATATTAAATTGTTGGATAACCTTGAGCATCAGGGTATGCACTCGTAAAGTTTGTTTTTTTAACTCATGTAGTTACATAACACTTGCTGTTACCACTCTAATAGTACTGCAGGGCCAGTAACTAGTTCTTCCAAAATAGTTGTGTGCCATTGCTTTTGAAATATGTTTATGTTTTTCTAGGCTTCCAAGTTCCACAAAGCGATACAGTACCAGTGCTCTCCTGATGTTGATGTGCCTAATGCCTTCTTCTTGGGTGGATCCATCTCAAGATCGTGCATTTCTCTTCCTTATAAGCAATTCAAGATATCCATTTCATCAGCACAACAAATTCACTATAAGGTGCCATTTTTTTACTCTTTAAAAGCGATCACTGTATGGTTGTGCTTTTCTTTACCTGAGTTCTATATATTTGCCTTTATATGTTTAGCTAACTTTTATCGGCCTGTTCTAATTATATTTCTTATTTCAAATCTTGGATGACCATATTTTTGCTAATAGAATAGTGGTTTCATCTTTTGGTTGCCTGTGCTCTACCAATAAAAGAACAGCAATGAACCATTCAGCTGCCCAGCTTATGCTACTCTACTGTGTTCACATTCTATAGACCTTGAGCCACCTACAATATCCTTTCTGTTTCGCATGGTTCTGCATTGATATTTCACCATAAATCATAGCCGTGTTTCATAGTTTGTTATCTTTATGCCCTGGTTATTTATTATCAGTTGTGGAAGGACTTAAACGACTGAAGATAAAGCTTGTGGCCTTGCTCCTCCTTATTTCCACAGTGGTGGCATGGTAGGCAACCAATAAAGCGGTGCCGAGATCCGGAGTGGCTCCTCCCTGCTCTCCTCTCTGGGTCTCTGAAGATGGAGTTGAAGCGGACATGTTCCAGGGAGGAATAGGAAGAGATCCCTTCAGATCTTCATACTTCTCTGAGGCATATCTGGTGTCCCCCTGATACTGCTCCCTCACCTTCTTTCCCTTGCTCCGGTCTCCTCTTCGTCCTCTCCTAGTGGCACCAGGGTGGTGCTGGATTTGTAGTGGTGAATCAGGCCTCTTTGGATCTACTGCATGGTTTCGATTCCTCTGTATGGCACCAGTTTCCCGTTCTTGCACTGGCGATATTTTCCTTGCGCTTCTTCCGCGTTGGTGTGAAGGGGGTCTTAGTTGGCAAACATAGTGTGCAGTGGCCGCCGCCGCCCATCTCAACCTCCTTCGTTGGCCTACTTGGTGGCCTCTGGGCTTGGCCTTTCTTTCTGTGTTGTGTCTTCCGGTGATGCATCGGCTTCCACAGGACGACCACTGCCCATTTCAGCGGCTCTTCTTTCCAGTACATGAGGATCTCCTGCATGTTGGCATCAGCGAGCTTTTATCCCTTCTGTTCAGGAAGATGACAAGGCATTCGTCCATCAGCAGGTTCAGGCTGGCCTGAATCTCATCTCCAGCGAGAGGCGGCATGTCCAGCCAAAAGAAATATATTTGGCAAACGCAAAGGGGATTGTAATTGTTCTTTTGATAATATAGGGCATGACTTCTTCTTTCAGGGACAGAACATCATAACCTGGGGAAGTATCAAGCATTCCCACCTGAAAATGTAGATACTAACATGATTTTAGTGTTATGAATGGTGGCCTCGTCATTGTGTAGAAATTGTACTTACAGTGGTAATTTAGTTTGTCTACTATCGACTTTGAAAGGAATACATCTGGAATATGTTTTGCCTCCAGTTCATCGGTTGTAGTTCTAGAACTGTATGTAGGTTACGAGCTAGACATTCGTGTTGTGCACTTGACTTGCTACAATATGATATGGAAACACTCACTCGTTATATATTTACCATTACATTTGTAGGTCCAAGTGTATCTCCAAGATGCAATGAGATCCAACATATACAGCAGAGGTATAGCAAGTGAGCCGGTCACATTCTGCTTGGTGAGTAGTAGTAGTAGTAGTAGTAGTATTATTTTTCATCCACTCTGGTTGGTGTTATCAGTTTTATTGTGGACCGTCACAAGAGTCCTTGATCAACCTGCAGGCGTATCTCGTCGTCATATCTCCGTTGTGGGCCGTGTGGTTCCTTTTCTCATCGCGATTTGGATCATCGATATGATGATCGCTGGAGCTGCACGTTGGACGAGTATAGAGGAGTTGGGATGATCAGAGCGTGAAATATAGGCTCTATTCTTTTTGTCTACCTTGCAATTTTGACCAAACTGTTAAATTTGGGGTCATTGATCATCGCTCTTGTACAGTTAATGTATGGCCCGCGTTGAGGTATGTACTCGTGGCATCTTAAAGTACAATCGATACGAAGTAAACAAAACGAAGCTTGTCTCGGAAGATGTGCACATACAAACATGGCAATATTTAGAAGATATGTACTCCCTCTGTTCCAAAATAGATGACTCAATTTCGTACTAAATTTAGTACAAAGGTAGTACAAACTCGGGTCATCTATTTTGGAACGGAGGGAGTAGTTTTCTTTTTTGAAATGCTAGAAGATGTGTAGTTTATATGTGCATTTGTGCACTATCCTCTAGTTCACTGTCTCAGATAGTAGTGAAAAAACCTGAAGCAACACTCACACGACATGGGTCAAGCATGCCATAAGTTTACCAAGGATTGATTTAAAAAATCTGGAGCCCCCATGTCGCTCATGCGGGGGGCGACCAGGCTAATCGCCGCCGCCAGCCTTCCCATCCTCCCCTCGCTGCTGCTAGAGAGAACCGGAGGCCAAGCCCTCGAGGCTCCCAAGGATGGCGTCGGTGGGGCCTTCATCCTTCCTCTGACAGCAGTGCGACCATGGGCTTTCGGCGGAGGCGTGGCTGTGAGGCATTTGCGTGAGGCATGGTATCATAGCGGGTGCGGTGCTGGCGTCGTTCTGGCAACTGGTGTGCTTCTGATCTAGCAGTGGCTGTGCGGACGCGCATCGGCGATGGTGATCTGCCTTTCGTGCTCTAGATCCGGCCATGTCATCCCATGGGTCGATGGGCATGGGCAAAGCTTTTTTTGGCAAGGTGGCAGACACCGGTGGTGTGCTATGCCGTTGGTGTTGGTCCTTGTGGTGACCACTTCGGCTTGTGGCGGCGGCCTCACTTTGGATTGCGCTGGCCATCTTAAGGTCTTTGTAAGGGTTCCTCCATTCAGATCCAATGGTTGTTTTCGGCGATGAGATGCAATCTACGAACAATGGCTTGACGCCGAGGGTATAGTTGTGCAGCGGTGGCGGTCTAAAATCGCATGTAGCTATTGGGATAGTGAAAAAGTGATGGCGAGTGGCGACAATATTCAACTAACTTTGATGTGGTGCTACTCGAGCACCCGGTCTCGAGCTTCGGGTTGAAAGCTTAGGTCTTTGCTGACCTGGTATACCTGACAATGGCGTTGTTTTTGCGTCGTTAACTTGTTGAAAGCATTGATTGAAAACCTTGAATCGGGCTGGATCCGGCTACGGCGACGTTTGAGTGCCGCTCCATTCCTGAAGGCGTTGTTATCGAAGAACATCGTCATCCTTGTGGTTTCATGAGATGGTTGGTGTGGATGAGATTACCGTTGTAGTTTGTCGACCACATATTTGGTCAATGTGAGTTTTTTTTTTGTTTACACATCGCTTTGGTCTTATATGTTTTTACTATTTCCCACCGTATTTTTTTGGTTTTTTTTTCGTCTACGCATATTTTTTTTGTTTTTGCGGGAAGCATTTGGGTGATGTGGATGTGGATGTGGATGAGCGAAATGTGACGGCAGACTTGATGTAACTATGGCGGATCCAAATTTACATGCAGCACAGCTAATCCGGCGAATGAGCGAAATCTAACATACAGTCGGACCCAAAATTCATAATTAATGAGTCTTCCCCGCCAGTTCGGTTTGTGTCACCCTGCAGCTTAGTTCCTAAGCTTCCTTCCCTTCCCACTCCGACGCCGAGGCGAGCTCGCTCTGCCTCCCTCCCGCGGCCCGCCACCGCCTCATGCTGGCTTGATATATAGCATAGCGCCTCCCATCTTCTCATCGTAATCTCCTCCTCGCCGATCAACTCCTCCTCCGCAACCACCCACCACCAAAGAGGCAAAGACCAAGCCATGCCAGCTCTCATGGCGAAGCGCTCTTCCTCGGAGCGCTGCGCGATCCGCCGCGAGCTCCACCGGCGCAGGAAGCTCGCCGCCGCGCCCAGTGGAGGGATCGCCAACAAGTCGTCTGCTGCCGCGTCGATCCAGAAGAAGCCGTCCGCGGACGAGCCAGCCGGACCGGCGACCACGAAGCCGTCGTCCATGACCATGCCGATGCCGCGCCCGCGAGCCGGAGTCGCGACCTCGCCTGCGTCGATCCTGCAGCACGCGCCAGCGGCAGTGGCCAGCAAGAAGCAGATTGCAGCCGTGGCCAAGGAGATCGCCGCCTGTGTGCCGCCGGGACAGGCTGCCAAGAGGTGCACCGCCCCGCCGCGCCGATCCGCTCTCATCCCGGCCGCGTCCAAGATGAAAGTTTCCGCCGGAGTTCCCAGGAAATCCGCTGCCCCGCCACCACCATCCCGATCCTTGGAGCTATCCGCGAAGATGCCATCCGCAGCGGCCCTGCCGCGCTCTCCGTCGATCCGGGTGAAGAAGGGCATGACTGTGAAGGTGCGCACGCGCGCCGGGGTCCTGCCAACGGGGCACTGCCTCGTGCTCTGGCTCGCCGCCCGCGTCGTCTCCGCCTCAGCGGACGACGATGGCTTCCTCGACGTGATCTACAACGGCAACTTCCCCCGCGAGGATCCCTCCCGAACCGTGCGCGTCGCCATGCACGACGTCAGGAGCATGCCCGCCATGGCCGAGAGTTAGAGCCGGATGGATGGCCAACTACGAGGAGTACGTACAAAGCTTATCATCAATTCAGAGTTTCAGTCTGCATCTGCACGATGGATGCTTTTCGGCCACAGAAGCTTCGACGATCTATGAAGAGTGTAGTCTTCCCTAGGGAGTAATATTGTAGCCCATTTGTTAGCTGACAATGTCGAGGGATCCTAGACTTGTATCCGCACAGGAGATCCCCCAGACTTTGCTGTCTGTTAGATGATGTAACTATTTTTGGAGTGAAGTGCATCAAAGGTCCTCAAACTATTTAAAAGGTGTTACGTAGGTCCTCGAACTATGAAAAGGGTCATTCAGGTCCTCAAAGTGCAATATGCGTGTCATCCAAGTCCTCGAACTATTTTAGAGGTGTCATGTAGGTCCTTAAACTATTTCAAATGTGTCACATACGTACACACTTATTGCACTTCAAGAATTTTTAAGGACCTAGATGACACTTTTCATAATTCGAAGACCTATGTGACACCTTCAAAATAGTTCGAGGACCTAGGGTGCACTTTACTCCTATTTTTGAGAATCAATAAAGTTGCCATAATGCTTCTCTCTCAACAAAGGAGATTCTAGTGTCATTTAGTACAATTTTAGACGTGTGGTACGTAGTGGCGGGGTTTCCACCCAATGTCAGAGAATGCTATTAATTAAGGATTAGCTCCTCAATTTTACACAAGGTTTATGATGTGCTACCTTTTGCACAAATGAAAAGTTTGTGCTTACATATGCCCGTAAATATTACTCCCTCCGTCCGAAAATACTTGTTGGAGAAATTGATAAAAATGGATGTATCAGAACTAAAATACGTCTAGATACATCCATTTCTCCGACAAGTATTTCCGGACGGAGGGAGTACCTACAAATATCATGTAAGCATCATCCCCATGTGCATGCTGGGCTCTAACAGGGTCAGTGTAACAATAGCTTCTTTTCAGTGTTTAAGTAGCATGAAGAACTTGTTCCATTGATCCAAGCCTTTCAAAGTTAGACAAAACAGTAGAGCAGCGGCGAATAAGCTGCAATGATTTCAGGGCGGTAGCTTAGTGTTTGTTTAATTCAAACAATGTTGTTCTGGAGACAGTATGTAAATGGAAGTCGAGAACTTTTTGGTGACATCTCCTCGCATTTTCCATCAAAATAAATTGTCAGGCATATACCAAACATACCCTCCGTTCCTAAATATTCGTTTTTTTTTTAGAGATATCAAATGGACTACCACATACAGATGTATATAGACATATTTTAGAGTGTAGATTCACTCATTTTGCTCCGTATGTAGTCACTTGTTGAAATCTCTAGAAAGACAAAAATTTAGAAACGGAGGGAATAGCTTACATAATTTGATAGAAACAGAGCTTCTTGATCAAAAGTAATTTACAAGGCATGGCTTTGACGGTACAAGGACATTATTTTGGGCAAAAATTCCTCAAATATCTCCGAAACAAAATGATCAGGACACCAGATAACATGATAACTTAATCTAAATAAACTGGCCAGACATAAATATTTCGAGAACGGTAATATCTCTCAAAACAGGATAAATGATTTGATCAACACTTCAAGTTTGTGTGTCTTCCATTCCTCTTAGCTCCCGCGCGCGTCAAATCTGGACAAGTAAAAGAATGAAAAACCTTTGTCTTGTGCCTCCCACCTGTGTTTAAGATTTGAAAGGGAATCTCATTTTTCGCATATGAATATACGCAATAGTTGAAAGGGCTTTCAGAGAAATAAACAGCTTGTTTGTTCTACAATCTCTTTCACAAGCAGCAAGAAATAAGTAGCACATGAAAACATGAAAGGACAATTGTGTTTCTATCTCACAGTCTATACTGCAATAAAAAAGAGACTTGTGCATCAATGCATATCCACTATCGGCCAAAATTGTGGCCATCTAAAAAAATGAAGGGAAACAACACCCAAGAAAATGGAAGTAGCAGCAGACCAGGATCATTAGATCAATGATAAACAAGAGCTCCCTCAGAGGGTTGCTAATCTGCTCGTGGAAGGGACAACAAAGCAGGTTTCTTCTCATACAAGAGGTGTCACCTGAAGTAAGCAATGCTCATCATGGCCACACCACCTTACTAACAACACTAGCTACACACTCAAGAAATCCAAGCAAAGATGAGCATTGCTTACATTTAGATGAAAGGATCGAAGAAGCATTCAAGAAATGAAATGATCCAAGTGTTCATTTTACAAACATA